TTGAGTTGAGTGTATGATCACTCAGAAAAGGCAGGGGGTGACTGACACCAGTGTAAGTTACACCCCGGGGGGCACGTTGAGCATTCACAACTTGTCCCAGAATAGCCACTCGCCTCGAGCAACCAAGCTAATACCTGCAGTCCTCACCCCTTGTGATGAGATGCTGGAGCAGCAGGTCCTGCAGGAAGCTGCCCTGATGCTATCTGTCTGCTCCGGTTTGGGGTGTAATTTGCATCAGTGTATAAAGTGGTGCAAGTTACACACTTGTGTACACAGCATGTATGCAGGCCTTCCTTTGGCAAGTCCATTAGGGCGATTTGAATCTGAAAAGGGAGCATATTTCGTGGCTGTAGCATTGACTGGGGGCAGAAAAAGCAGCAAGGCTGGCATGGCTCTGCAGCCGTGCTCCTGTTAGACCCCACAGGAACTGCAGTGCTGTTTCTTAGAAAACTGATGCTTCTTTTCTGCTTGTCAGCTGTCCCCTGAGTGGGGAGCGCCAGAGGTTCCTGAGTTCCCTGGAGAGTCTCTGTCTGAAGATGAATATAAGAAGAAGCTGAAGTAAGCACTTGCTTGATTTGTGCTGTAGCCCTCAATAGGCTGCTCTGCAGATGAATAGGAGTGCTTTTATCCATGACCCTTCCCAGTCCATCTCACTAAAATCCCACTAAAATCCAGTTCCTTTGCTGCTGAATCCTACTGCCTCCCTCCACCTGGACTCCAGCTGCCCTCAAAAGGACTCCCGCCTAGCCCGTGTTTGCAGGACCTTCATTGAGAGTTTCTCTCAATGTAGGTTGGGGAAAACACGCTGTGCTCCAAATCACTTTGGGAGGCTTGATGGGAGGATTTCCTTTGTGGTCCCTTGCCACGTAGCTGAGTATTGAACCTGCTGGGCTCTTTGACTCCATGGAAGCCCCAAGTCTCTGCTGCCCCTTCCAGTGTAGCTGCTTCTGCCTCTGGAGGTGCCTTTCCCCATGGTATGATGTTCAAAGGGGGGGCTGCAGTGTGCTATCAGTGCCATGCGGTGCCTTCCACCTCTCCCAGTGCAATCCACCACCTGCATCTTGGAAACCTTTTACTGCCTCAAATGCAACCCCTGTTATTGCTCCATGCTTCCTCTTCGTCTGTTTTTTCTTCCAGCCTTATTATTCAGGAACTACTGAATTCAGAGGAGGAGTTTGTCAGGGATCTGCAGTTCCTCCAGACTCACCATCTGCACCACATCGAGACCTACCCCAGTGTCCCAGCGCCTGTGGCCAGTCAGAAGTCCACCATCTTCAGAAATGTCGATGACATTGCTCACTTCCATTGCAGGTCAGTGGAGAGGAACAGCAGCAGGAGAGAGAAACACCTTGTGCTGTTAGTGAGGGCCACCGCGGGACAGGCAGGGCGTGGGAAACGGGGAACGCTAGGATGAAAAGGAGTGGATGAGTCTGTTAGATGGCATGCTTCCTCAGCAAAGGAGTGACCGTCATAAAATAATAATCCCTGCCCTGTTGGGTGAATTCCACTGAATAACATGGTGTTGCTATAAAAAAGATGTTCTGGTCTTGAAGACGCTTTA